TATGGAACACTACTCCCATGCTCTCTGCCTTGGGCCTGGCTCATGTCAGGACCTTGGTAAATATCTGTGGAATGCAAGCACAATGTTTTCAGTTTCGGCCTGAGTCAGAGCAAGGATGGCTGTGTGGAAAGCTGAGTCTTCGCTCCAAGTAGCTGGAGGATGATGTCGGCCCCGTCCACTGGAGGGATGGGGGCTCTTCTGGCCGGCAGTCTGGTGTATCCAAGGTGTGCATACCAGCTCAGCCACATGGGGCTCTGTGGCCTTGGGCAAGTGGCTTGACTCCTCTGAGTCTGTTTCCTCATCTTTAAAATGGGGGTACTAATACTTACATCAGGGGGTGTTATGAGAATTAAATGAGATGAGTACGAAGTGCTCACAAATCCTAACACAAGTGATCACAGGTGAACACCTGTGGTCACCTTTGTGGCCCATTTCTTGCCCTAAAGAAAGGCAGCCCTTCCCCCCTGCTGCAGGCTTTCAGAGCTGGAGGGGGCCTAGGAACTTGGGGAATCTTCTCAAGATGAAGAAAGGGGAGGTCCAGAGAAGAAGTGGACCGGCCCAAGGGCACACAGTGGGGACATGGCTATGTGGGGACAGGGGCCCAGGGATCTGACTGTCCAGACTAAGGTTTTACTCCTGAGACCGGGAGTTGTCCAGGCTCACAGCATTCTTCCTCCAGGTGCTTGCACCTGCTTACCCAGTGGCAGGTAGGGGCCTGGGCCCCAAAGGGAGCACAATGACTAGATGGTCCCCACCTGGGCACAGGCTCAGCCTCAGGTCATTTTCCTGTCCGAGGTGATCTCCGCCACCCTGGAGCCAGGGGCCTTCCTCCCCACCCACGGTCCCCAGTCTCTGACAATGACCCAGGTGTCCAAAAGGATCTGCTTATGACAATAAGCAACATCCTCCTGCCACATAATTGTAATTCCAGCTGGCTGTATGCATATAAATATGTAAAGTCTCCCCAGTAACACACGTGCGCACGCGCAGCTTTGAACGGCGTGGGGCACACGCGCTACCTTCCCAACACTGTGCCCTTGTGTGTCCTCCCAAGGACAGGCTGCCTTGGACCTTGATCCGGCTTGAATCTCAGGCAAAACAAATGGGAAGTTTTCTCTCCTCAGGGCAAAACACTATCTGGCTCTTTTGTTGAAATGAACACAGCCTTCCAGACCTTAATCCTAGCTTCTCCTTTTTTCTAAAAGAGGAAGTTTCTTCTGGAGCCTGTGAGAGCTTGGGGATTGAGCAATGCCCCTCCCCCCACGGTCTCTGAACCCCAGTTCTCTCTGTGCTCCCCTCCTGGTTGTCAAGGAAACTGCCTCTAGGGCTGAAAAGCCCCACCCACTGCTGTTGGGGACATTCTGTGGTCATCCCCACCACTGCTGTTTGGGCTCCGGGCCTGCGCCCCCACTGGAGGTCCTGATGCTGGCTCCTACCCCGCCCCACCCTGCCACAAGCCAGCTCCACCTGGCCTACATTTCAGCCCCACCCATCCACACCCGTCCCTTCCAGTCCCCACCTGGCTCAGCTTTGAGCTCCACTTCTTGCTCCCACCTCTGCTCTGCCTGTCCCCTGCACCCCTCAGATGTGCACCCCAACACCTCTGAGCCAGCCCTCCTGAGAGCCCCACTGTGCGCCCCTGTGAATGCTGCTGGGTCTAGATTCAGCTCCCAGCCTTGGGGTAGCTCTGGGGCTTGAGGTGATGCTGGGGAAAGGGAACACAGGGCACCAGCTGGGAGAGGAGCTGGTGGGAGCCACCACATGGCCTGCTGGGGACGGGGGGTGCACAGGGCAGAGGTAAGTCCAGGTCCACTCTGTGGTAGGTTTCAGTCTCCCGGGAAGGTCCTTTCCCAAGCCACCCCCACTTCTATGTACTGGCACAGCCACAGTTCTGAGGTCATACCCACCCCACACAGACTACCCAGGCTGGCAGGGATAGTCGGGGCACAGCCAGGGTATCTGGGGCTCCTCCTCCATCAGGTCTGCTGGGGGGTAAGAGCAATGGGTTGGCAGTTGGAGGAGGCTTGGTTAGTCCCTGCGCTGCCAGACTTCTGCTAGGGACTGTGGGTGGACCATCTCTTCTCTGAGCTTGAGGGTCACACCTGTAGGGTGATGGGCTTGGGCAGTAGAGTCCCTCACCGGCTAGCCCAAGGAGCCATACTCATTGGTCACAAAGTCAAATGTCCCTGGGGCCAAGCAAATGTGGTGAGAGAGTGAAGCAGGCCAGGTATAACATCAGGGAGCAGTGGAGACTGGCTAACGGGGGTACCAGTGAACCCCTGAACAGGAGGCTGTTGCTCAGCTCTAGCTGACAACAACTTGTGGGAAAGCTGTTTTGTGTTAATCTTCTGATTTTCAAAGAGGCTAAGAGTCATAATTTTCATATCAAAGTTCTGGTTTTTAAATGCTGGCAATCTTAAACAAATGTAAAATACTTTGAAGGTCAAATAAAATATGCCTAGAGGCTAGATGTGGCCTGTGGGCTGTCAGTTTCTGAATCCCCATCCCCCCAGTATAGTGTCTAATTGCCTGAATTTAATTCTGGCTCTTGTACGTATTGGCTGTGTGATCTTTAGGGAGTTACTTAATATCCCTGTGCCTTATCAGTGAAACAGGAAAAATATCCAACACCCATCTTATGGGGTTGTTAGACATGCCCATAAAGCACTTAGCACGGCACACTATACAGTCTGTTTCTTCCAGTTCTAACTGGATCCCGCTTTACCTGAAGCCCCCACCTCCAGGTTCTGAATTCACACACTCTGGAACTTCAGGCAGACCACTTCCCCTTCTGAACCTCTGTGTTTCTGCCTGAAAAGGAGACTAGCCTTTGCCAAAGAAGTTCTGAAATCTCTGCTCACCTTAGCAATGACTTTCTTTAAATCTGGGGCTCCCAGACATGGCTCCCTCTCACTTGTGGGTGGTGACTGGGAGGCTCTAGTGTGTTCTGTCTTCCTTGTCTTCTGGGGCCTAAAACTCCACACTTGCAGACATATTCTTTGGGGCCATGGCCTTACTGCCTCCCCACACTCTGCTTCTAAATATGCTGGGTTCCAAGATTGGATCACAAGCTGTTATCAGTCATTCACACCATAGTGTAAAAGACTTCAAAGCTAGTGCATCCATTCTATTGTACAGAACTATTTTTTACTCCTAGGGACTGTTTCTTCAATTGCTGAAATGAATTAGAGACCCTTCTAACTTCCATGCATCAAGCACCAACTCCCAGCGAGGCATTTTCAGAGCATTTCATGTGAATTCTGTGTAATTCTTGCCTCAGCTCCAGCAGGTAGATTTTTGGTTTTTGTTTTACAATGAGGACTCCAAGGCTCAGAGTCTAACTCACAGTTACTGGACTCCAAGGCAGGCTGGTCCAACCATGAAAAGGACATACCCGTGTGGTTCTGTACATATTTCCAAACTTTCCTTCCTTGTCTGCCTGACCTACAACTGCCCCTGAGATGCCAATTGAAGTAAAAATACCACTATCGCATAATAATCATTGTTATTGGAGCTCACATCTTGTGTTCTCAGCTTTCCCTCCTTCGGCCCTTTCACAACTGTGTGTTGTAGGTGATATTTTTCTCTTTGCACACACAAGGAAACTGAGGCTCAGACAGCTAGACAGAGGAGCCAGGACTCCAGCGCTGACATTCTGTTGCAAGGGCCAGTGCTTTTAAGGGTCAACACAGTTAAAGGCTGAAGGGTTGGCTGGCCAGTTTGGCTCAGTGGTTAGAGCGTTGGCCTGCGGTCCAGAGAGACCCGGGTTCGGTTCCCGCTAAGGGCACATACCTCGGTGGCAGTTTGTCCCCGGCCCTGGTTGGGTTGTGTGGGTGGTAGCCACTCTATGTGTCCCTTTCACGTCCATGTTTCTCTTTCTCTCTCTCTTCCTCCCTCTCCCTCCCACTCTATCTGAACAAAAAATGGGAAAATGTCCTCAGGTGAGGATAAAAAAAAAGGCTGAAGAGTTAGAGTCAGGTAAAGAGGACCAGGGGTTACATCACTGGTTACTGAAAACAAAATGAGCTAGAAAATATTTCTAAGGAGGCTGGGTGGCAGGCAGGTACATGGGTGAGATGGCCCTTTATGCATTCCTGGTATCTGTCCCTGAGACACCTTGCGTTTTCCAGCTTCCCCACCACCTGGCCCAGAGCAGCCTCTCTGCTTGCTGAACCCCTATCTGTTCATCCACCTCAAAGGCCCTGACCATCCCCAGGAGGGCTATGTCCTCTGGCCTCCAAGTGCCCTGAGGTTGGCACCAGTTTGTCCTTCAGCCAATGGGGTTACTTTGTTGCGAAGGCAGGCCCTGTCTGCCACCTAGGTTGTAAGCTCCCAAGGGGAGGCCATGTGTTCAGCACGTAGATGAGATGTAGCGCCTCCCACAGGCCTTGCGAGGCAGCTTCCACCAGCACCTCCCCAGCCGGTGCCCTGTGTTTCTTTTCCTGACATCACCTCACGGACCGAGGAGGTGGGAAGGCACTCTGGCCTCAGGAGTTGGAAGGGTCAGAGGTATTGATGGTCCCCAGAAGAGTGGTCCAGGGCAAAGGGCTGCGGTTCCCACACAGTCTTTCTGCTTCCTCTCCTGACTCCCGCCCCACTGTGCTGCCCCACTGTGCTGGGCATGGAGGCCAGAGGTACCGAGGACCAGCCGTGGGCAGAGCCACAGTGCCTGCATTGGTGGTGGTGGGAGCTGGAGCGTGGCGTATGCTCCACCCTGGAGATGGACACATGCTGGCTGGGGTCAGCCTGCCACCTGCCTGGAGTTGCTCCTACTCCTCAGTCAGTATCCCTGGGGTGGGGGGGGATCCCCCAGCTGGGGAATCACCCATGGCTCCTCCCACAAAGTCTGGGATGGGGCTGGGTTCATGAACAGCTGAAGGTTCAGGGAGGGCAGCTGACTCGCCCGGGGCCTGTGGCTAGGGAACCCACAACCTTGGAGCCTCAGACACGGAGAGGGGCACTGGTTCGGGCAGGTGACAGCTTCTCATCTCTTTGAGCAGGTTTGGTGACAGCCTTCAAGGTCGCCACACCGTATTCCCTGTATGTGTGTCCCGAGGGGCAGAACGTCACCCTCACCTGCAGAATCTTGGGCTTGGGCTCCGTGGCCAAAGGGCACGACGTGACCTTCTACAAGACATGGTACCGCAGCTCTCGGGGCGAGGTGCAGGCCTGTTCCAGCCGCCAGCCTATCCGCAACCTCACGTCCCAGGACCTTCACCTGCACCACGGTGGCCACCAGGCCGCCAACACCAGCCAGGATATAGCCCGGAAGCATGGGCTTCAGTCTACCGCTGACCACCATGGCAACTTCTCCATCACCATGCACCACTTGACCCCACTGGATGACGGCCTCTACTGCTGCCTCGTGGTGGAGATCCAGCACCACCACTTGGAGCAGAGGGTCTATGGTGCCATGGAGCTGCAGGTGCGGAGAGGTGAGCACTTCCTATGCGGGGCAGCTTAGGGGGTGGGTCCCTGTGCGGATGGTGTGCGTGCCCTCTGGAAGGGTAAGCCGAGAGAAGGACAGGATGGCTATGGGGTGTGTGCTGTGTGACACTGTGCGGAAGGGTACTTGACGATATGGTGGCAGCAGCGCTGCAGGGGTGTGTGTGGGATGCGGTGGCCGTGCGTGTGGAGCTGTATTAAGCACCTCTGGTCAGCTGGATGTGATGCAGAGGGAGGGTGTGCACGGCAGTGGGCCTTGTGGATGGGAGAGTGTGTCTGAACCTGCGCTGGGATGTGACTGCTCCCGACAGCACCCTGACTGTGGGTGTGAGTTGCTGAATGGTCGAGTGGCTACTGGGGAATATGTGTGTGTGAGTGTGCAAGGGGCAGCGGACTGGACAGAGATGTGGGCATGGGCGGGTACCACAGGCTCCTGCGGCGGCATGAGAACGAGCAGGGCGTGCCCGGCTGTATGGTGGGAATGTGCGTGCGTGTGCGCGCACACGTGTGTGTGTGTGTGTGTGTGTTTCCACCTGTGCCAATGCTACTAAGTGGACAGTAGCATGAGCGGCTGCGACGAGAGGGACACGCCAGCCTGGCCAAGCCTCACTGGCCTCCTGGGCCTGACAGCCACCTAACAACCCACCCACCTTCTCTTTGCTCCCACAGGCAATGAAACACCATCCAAGTGCGTCGCATACCCGTCTTCCCCCAAGGAGAGTGAAAGTAAGGGGCCATCCTCTTGTCCCTCTGGGTTCTCCGTTCTGGTCTGTCCTCCTGGACCCAGATCCCATCTTAAACTCTGACCTCGTCACCCACAGAGCCCCCTCCTCCTTTTCTGCTGCTGTCCTCCCTTTCGCTTCCTCCTTCAGCCGAGCCACTGGGCCGCAGCCCTCAGAAGCCCACTCTCCTTCCAAGGCCCCACACCTGAGAGGGCAAGCCCCCAGAGTCCTTGTTCCTCACTCCCCGAGTCGGCCTGTACCCTGGCGGTGACCCTTGGCCCAGTGCCCCCATGACAGGTCCTGGGCACCACAGGCTGCTAAGCTTGTTTTCACTGGGTTCCCCTCCGGTCCACCAGCCCACTGCCACATGGGAAGGTTGGAGGGCTGTGGGGAGTCCTCAGCTACTTACAGTTTCCTTGTTCTGTGTGTGGGGCTGGGGGGAGGGGAGAGGCTCAAGAAGGGGACAGAAGAGCCTTTCCTGGTGCTCCTACTGTGTGCCAGGCCCTGTGCTAGCCCCTTCCAAGTACTGGCGTGTCGGTGGGTTCTCCGAAGAGCACTGTGAAGCAGGCATCACCATCTTCACTTTACGTACATGGACACGGAGGCCCCGAGAGGTGACCTGACTTGCCCAGTTCTCACAGCCACAAGGGTGGCACAGCTGGCCTTGTGCTCACTTCACTTTCTTCCCAGCTCGGGATGCCTGGTGCAGTGGGTACCAGCCACCTGCTGTTTGCCCAGAGAGGTGCCCTGGGGGTAACGGGGCACTGCTCTGAGGGGCACCTGGGCACTGAGGCCAGGTGGGAATGCCCAGCAGCTTGGAGACAGCAGGCAAGGGGTGACATCGTTGGAGCACCCCACTCTTCTGAGAGGAGGGGGCCTTGGCTTCCACAGCCTTCTAGTCATCAGCACTACCGGGCATCCAGCCTGGATCAGCCCCTGCCCAGAGCCTGGAAGTACAAAGGTGCAGACCTCCTTTCTGCCCGCCAGGAGCCCGCGTGCAAAGACCAGGCCAGGCATGGGAGCCTCGGCCAACCCCAACTCACAGGCTGCCGAGACTTCCTACTCAAACTACTCTTTTTTTTTTTTTTTTTTAAACAACAAAAGACTAGCCAGGGACAAAATTAGAACATACACTTGGGTCTGAGGCAGACCCACATGGGGTTAAACTCTGGCTGGAGCCCCTCTCCCTGCACACCACAGCGCTCACATGTCACTCGGGGCCAAGCCACTACTGTCCTCACTTCCTCCACCAGCGACTCCCTGGTGAGGGGGGAGAGGGGCCCGGGTGGCTCCTTCCTTCCCACGCAGCAGTCTCAGGACTGTGCAGACACGCTGCCTGGGCACAGGACGAGGTGAGCGGCCCTGGGGGGTACCGAGTGTCCACTTCCACATTGCTCCTTCTACTCTGAGCAACCTCCGGCCCACTTCTTCCTCCAGAGCTCCTGCAGAACTCCCTCGGAGACAGTCACTTCCGTCGCTGTCCCCATTTCACAGATGGGGAAGCAGGCGCAGGCAGGTGAAGGGACGTGCTCCCGGTCTCTCAGACCCAGAGCCAAGAGGAGGTGCCGGAGTGCCCGACTGTCAGCCTGCAAACCCTGCCCGGGTGCTGGGCTGCCCTCCCCTCTGCCAACACCGGTTTCCTGAAATTAGTTGTGTACGTTTTGGAGACAGAAACGAGACCCAGAGGGGATGATGCTACAGAAAGCAGGAGCAAAATGGAGAGGGAGCTGAAATTGGGTTCATGTTTCTTGATCTCGACTCTAGAGAAGCAGCTGCGAGAATGAGGGGATCAGAAGTCACTTGGGAATCTTGGGGTCCTGCTGAGAAGAGCAGGGGTGAGGCAGAAGCTTGAGCTGCCTGCCAGAGGCTCCGGCTTCCTTGGCCGGGCACCCGGGCTCTGCTGTCACACTGCCTTCCTCTCTAACTCACGGCATGTGCAGCCTCACCCGGCCCGCTTCCCTGAGCCGCTGTGCACAGCTAACTGGCTCCCTGCAGACAAAGGGACATGTTTGCTTCTCCCAGCTGCTGGGGGCGGGAAGATGGCTTCGATGACCTCTGGAGTCCCCTTCCAGTCCCCTTCCAGACTCTTGGTCCTGGAGGTCTGGAGACCACAGCTGTGGGGGAGTCTTGGCACCATGGCGGTGTCGTCTCAGACGAGAAGAAACCCAGCTGTACTTCAGGGTGGGGTGTGGGGGTTTGGACAGCAGGCCCATTCTCGGGGTACCACGTGTGCACTGAGAAATGGGAGCAAGTATGTCCTTTTCCTACTAACGGGGGCAGATCAGTGTTACCTAAGGAGCTGATTCAGGGTTCAAAACTCAAGTGCCTGCAGGGCCAGGGAGCTGGTGAGCAAGCACTAGGAGGGGTGGACTGGCCAGCACCCAGCTGCCAGGCTAGGAGTGCAGGTCCCACGGCTGCACGACAGGAGGGCCCAGGGTTGCCACAGCCACTGCGCTTCCCAGCAGTGAGAAGTGCAGATTTTTTGTGAACTCTTGTTTTAAAAAGTGGAGTTTATTCCGCTGGCAGTATGGTGAAGTGCTCAAGGACACAGCCCCTGGAACCAGCCAAGTTGCTCAACCTCTCTGTGCCTTGGTTTTCTCATCTGTCAGACAGATTATAATTGCACTTACTTTCCGGGCTGTTACAGAGCTAAAATGAAGTTCTGTATGTAAAATGCTAAGAACCACGCCTGGCACAGAGTAAGTGCTGTGTTAAGTGCTGGCTGTCAATACTTCAAATGCAGAATTCTAGCCTGGCTTCGAAGTCTACTCGTCCAGTCCCGTGTCGAGGCAGGACGGCAAGTGGACGGGAGCAGACGGTGGACACATCCTGTTTTCTGTTAGACACGTTTGCCTGGGACCCAGGGGCTCCGTGGGCCTCAGGGCTCGCCACTGGGTGCTGCTCTCCACTGCCGCTTACCTTTGGAAAGATCCCAGTCCCTGCCCGAGAGACAGGTGCCCCACAGCCCGCTCTGGTGCCTGGTCAGCTGATAATGCGTCCTGCCAAGAAGCTCTGAGCTCTCGTCCCCTGACTGCGGCCCCAGTCTCCCAGTGTTATCTCTGGGGAGTAGTGGCGTAGCTAGTCTACGAAATCATCTGAAAGCCCAAGTCAGCTTGAGGTCAGGGGAGGTAACAAGAAAGGAGACTAAGGAAGTTGGTGCCCCAGGAGCCCCAGATTGCTAGGGGGTTGTGGTTTCTCACCAACCCCAGGGAAGGGGGCTAAGCAGCCCATGTCCCCTCCCCTAGTAGCAACCTCCCTACCCTTCATCATAGCAGAATGTTTTGGTTTGCTTTTATCCAGCCCCCTCCCTGGGCAACCAGGCAGCCCAGCCCAACTCCCTCCTCTGTCTGTACCCATGGGGTACTGGCAGGCCCCTCCCATCCCATCCTGCTCTGTAAGGGCCTGGCACAGGCCTCCATGCAGGCCTGCCAGCTGCCTCTGCCAATGCCTTATCACCTTCCCAGGATGAGCCTGGCTCCAGATGGCTCTACGCAGGAGCCTGCCTTCCCAGTACTGGCTATGCTTGTGGGGAGGGGCGGGGAGCGGCAGGGAGGCCAGGCTCTGCAGAGGAGCCATGGATTCAGAGGGCACCCACCCTCACCCCCCAACCCATCCAGTCCAGCCTTAACTCTCAGACCAGGTTATAAGCAAACCAAGTCCTGATCCCCTAGACAGGCTGCAGAGAGGAGACCTTTGCCTGGGGAAAGGAGTCAGGCCGGGAAGTTGGGCCACCAGGGAGCTGGAATTAATGAGCACCTAACTAACCTCATCAAAAGTTACTCAGTACTAGTTGGAGACCTGCTTCGATGCCTAGAAAAGAGCGCTTTGCAGCCCGCTTCTCTGATCGCGCCCCAGGAAGGGCCTGGGACCGGTTAGAAATACTCAAATGTCTGAATTGGAGAATGTTTTTACTTTCAATATTCCACCTCGAAATGCAGCCTCACTAAGACCTGCAGGGGAGCCTGCTTTAATGTGAAGTCGACTTGCTTTGTAATTAGCATAGCCACTGTTCCTGCACCGCTGGGTACTTCTAAAGTGCCCGAAAACAGTTTGTTCTCTTCTGCGGTGTGAACCAACCCCCGAAAGCTTGTTTATACCATTGGGTTGTCTAGCAATACAGTGAGACAAAAACAGCCCTCATTCCAAAAAAAATAGTGCAAAGGCAACCTGGAGTACACCGCCTGGCACCTTCCAAAGCTCCCTGGGTCAAGTTGATACTGTAACAAGCTATCGTGGCCAATCTTCTGGGAAGGTCTAAAATCGGGAAGGAAATGCATTTAGGCTGGTTGTGGTTGTAAGGGCGCATCTGCTCCCAGCTAAACTCCTGGAGTCAGCAGACAGACCGAAATAAAGCAAGTCTCTCACGCTGTTGGTGGGCTGGCGAAGCCGTACAACCTTTCAGAGGGCAGTTAAGCAATAGATGAAAAGAGAATGCATGTACTCTTTGGATCAGCTCTTTCACTGCTGGGAATTTATGTACAGATGTGCTTGGCTGAGTGAGCAAAGAGCCTACACAAGGAGTTCACTGCTACATTACTGGCTGTTGAAAAATGGAAGCAACCCATGTCCAGCATAGGGGGCTGATTCAGTAATTCTGGGTGAGCTGCGTGATAAAGCCCCAGGCAGGCAGAACGCAGTAGATCTCTCTGCCAATCCAGAGAGATGTCTAACTATGCCAAGCGGGAAAAGCATATCATAGCTATGCCCTATATACAGAGAACATGTCTACACCATGCACAAAGAAACAGCAGATACTGGTTTCTTTTTTTTGGAGGAAGAAATTTTAAAGTGTTTTTTTTTTTTTAAATTAAAACATTTCTTGTAATTTAGAAAGTTTAAAATTTAAAAATGTCAGACAAGGCCGTGGTCAGTGTGGCTCAGTTGGTTGGAGCATCGTCCTGTTCACCAAAAGGTGGCAGGTTCGATTCTCCATTAGAGCACATACCCAGGTTGCAGGTTTTTTAAAATACTAAGTCCCCTTCATTTATTTATTTATTTCTAAAAATTTTTTTTTCCTTTATTGATTTTAGAAAGAAAGAAAGGGGGAGGGAGAGAGCGATTGAAACACTGATGAGAGAGATCGATTGGCCACCTCCTGCATGCCCCCCACTGGGGATTGGGCCCACAACCTGGGCATGTGCCCTGTCTGGGAATCGAACTGGTGACCTCTTGGTGCATGGGTCAGTGCTCAACCACTGAGCCACACCGGCTGGGCTAGGTTGCAGGTTTGATATCCATTTACATGTGGGAGGCAATTGATGGATATTTCTCTCACATCAATGTTTCTGTTTCTCTCAAATCAATAAAAAATGAATGTTAAAAAGAACTGTCAGACAAGAATTCACATTTCTCTAGTTCTCGCCCCAAGACTGGAAGTATGAGATCACTTCCAGAGGCTCCACCCTGGAGCTAAGGGGTCTCTTAGGAGATAAGTGTAGTTCTTTATTCATTTATTTTTGTTGTGGCAAAACATAAAATTGGCCATTTTAATCATTTTTAAGTGTATGATTCAGTGACATTAATCATGCTCACAAAGTTGTGCAATCATCGCCACTATTTCCAAAAGTTTTTCATTACTTGGGCTCCATTTGACCTTGAACTCTGTGGCACGAGGTCTGTGAAGGGCCTGCTGTCCCTTCTCAGGGAACAACCTGTGGTCCCGGGCAGCTGAGCTGTCCCCAGTGGCTGGCTGATGACCCTTCTCTCTCACCTGGAGCTGCCTCGGCTGTAAGCACCTGTCCTTATTTCTGTATCCTCTGGGCCAGTGGGGGAGGAGGCATGGGGCTCTCTTTGAAAAGGGGTTCCTAGAACTTCCATGCCTCTGCAGGTCACAGAGGGTCTGGCTATGAGGCCTGGGTAAAGGTGGGTCCCCCTGCTGCCTAGCCTTCCCCCTTTGGGCTTCAGCTTCCCCTCAGGAGTAGTGGGAACAGGGCCTCACCTAGCTGCCTCTCTGCCCATTCAGATATCACGGCTGCTGCCCTGGCTACGGGCGCCTGCATTGTGGGCATCCTCTGCCTTCCCCTCATCCTGCTCCTGGTCTACAAGCAAAGGCAGGTGGCCTCCAACCGCCGTGAGTATCCCTGCCCTCGTGGGATGGGTGTGGGTGTGAATGACCCTCCTAGCTGCCAGCTCAGCCCCTGGGGTCAGCAAAGGCAGAGGCAGGCACGAGACCTCTGTTCTGGAGATGGGGACTGCTGCGGGTCCAGCCAGGAGCTGAGCTCCGCGGTGGAGAGCAGGGCACTCAGACGGGCATTTCCAGAGCCTGAGTGCCCACCAGCCCCAATCTGCTGGGTTAAATAATTAACCAAATGCTACTTAACTTAGTAAGTAGCACAGCTGGGACTCAAACTCATGGTTTTTCCAGGGAGTATCACCCCACCACATAAACAAATGCTCGTTAGCATGAACATAGCCAATAGCCCCTAACTGGCAGGGTTGCTGTGCTAGCTGGCCCGCCAGACTTGCTATATACCTTCTCTCATCTATTCCTCGTAACGACTCCAAAAGTTTGGTCTTTCCATTGTCCCCATTTTACAACTGAACAAACGGAGGCACAGAGAGGTTAAGCAACGCACTTAAAGAACTGCACAGCGAGTAAGTGGTGGAGCCGGCCTTCAAGTCAGGGCCACAAATACCTTTGCTCACTCCGCTTCGGCCATATTGCCCTTTGCCCTCTGACCGCACCACAAGCTCCAGGAGCCGCAGCGTGGGGGTTCCTCTGCCCTAGATCCTGCACTACGTACGTCCCCCGCCTCTTCCCCTCCGCTGGGCTGCAGAGAGAACAGAGGGGGCGCTGCTCTGTCACCAGGTGGCTCTCGGCTCACCCTGATCTCCTTCGGCTGTACTGTAACAACTTGCACCCCTTGTTCCCGGGGGCCCCACTTGGAGCTCCACAGTATCACTTGGGCTGCAGTCCCCTCTCCCTTCTCCCAAGACATCATACCTCACAAAACCCACCACAGCCTACCTACAAAATGCCCCGAGGCCCGGGGGGGGGGGGGCAGGTGAAGTGCCGGAGCAGAACGAGGAGCCCAGGGGCTCCAGCAGGAGCATCGCTGTGGCGCTGCCACCCGCTCCTGCCATCGGGGTGGCGTCCCTGCGCAGGTGGGTGAGGGACAAGGAGCGCGCTGTGCTCCGCCAGGCTCAGCTCCAGATAGAGGGGCGATTTCTGCGCCCCATCGGGGAACAGGAACTGGAAAGCAGATTCCAGGCAGAGGATGCTGGGGCGGGGGAGGTGCTGCCGTTCCTGCTTTTGTTGTCTCTGGGCCTTCCTCACAGGGTCCCTGGGGCTGGTCTGACTCTTGCCCATCCCAGGCCAGGACACTGAGGGGTCCTGAGGACCTGGGGAAGCTGGGTCAGCCCCCAGTATGTCCTGTTGCATGTGCTGGGACCCCTCCGAGGGTCCCCAGACGAAGGGACGGGAAGGGACAGATGAACCGGATGCTGACGAGCTAGACTGAAAGGCCGGCGGGGGCTGCGCCGTCAGCCGCGTTGAGCGCATCCTCTGGAACACAGACGGACCCCGCCTCAGCCACTTCGTAGTATCTTTTTTGTTTTTAATTGAGTTTTTAGAAGGAGAGGAAGGGAGAGAGGGAAACATCAAAGTGAGGGAGAAACATCGATCAGCTGTCTCCTGCACCCCCCCCACTGGGGATCGAGCCCGAAACCCAGGCATGTGCCTTGACCAGGAATCGAACGGGGACCTCTCAGTCCCTGGGGCGATGCTCAGTCCACTGAGCCACACCTGCTGGGCACTTCATAGCTTCTTGTCCCTCAATTTAACATAGCGGTAACAAAAAGGTGTCGATACTTTGTCTTCTAATAAAAGTATGTTTGAAGCCCGTCCCCTACCTCTGCCTAAAGGAAGAAGAAATGAGTTGTATGACTGAAGTCTTTAGAGACAGACACGAGAGATGCCAGAGGGGATGAGGCTACAGGAAGCAGGTGTAAAATGGAGAAGGAGTGGAGATTTGGGCCATTTTCTTTTTTAAGTTTTTTTACCCTTTATTGGTTTTAGAGAGAGAGCAAAGGAGAGGGACAGAGAGATAGAAACATTGATGAGAGAGATTGGCTGCCTCCTGCATGCCCCCCACTGGGGAGCGGGCCCACAACCCGAGCATGTGCCCTGACCGGGAATCGAACCGGTGACCTCTTGGTGCCTGGGTCAGTGCTCAGCCACTGAGCCACACCGGCCAGGCTGGGTCATTTTTCTTGATCTAGACTCTAGAGAAGCAGCTGCTGGAATGACAGGAACAGAAGTGCCCTGGGAGAGGCAGGAGGCGGGCCACAGGGCCGAGGCTGAGCGGCCCGGAGCCTGGGAGCCTGGTAGGGAGGGTGTGCCCAGGAATGAGCCCACTCAGGCAAACAGGAAGAGGAAGGGCTGGGAGCACTGAGGGGGGCAGTTTGCTGCAGAGGCTGATGGGTGTGGAAACTGACCCAGTATGAGACGGAGGCTGGTGTCTTAGCTCTAAAGTGGGATCGCCAATCCTTACCCCACGAGGTGGGGAGGATGGGCTGAGGGACGGTAGGGAACCCACACGAAGCCTGATGCACGGCGCCCCCAGGAACAGTAGCAATGATTCCAACGCCGCAGAGATTTCAGGAACTTCTGAGCAACTTCCCTGTGTTCACTGCTGTGCCCCGCCCCCACTGTCTGTTTCCCCAGAGTTATCAGCGGCGACTCTTAAAAACAAGAAGGATCTGCGGGAGTACATGGGGAGCTGCATGAAAGAGAGAAGTTGGGGCCACTGCATTTGGTTGGAGTCTAGTTTGGGGGGCGGGGAACCCCAAGAGTGGGGCAGGGTAGTAGCAGCTTGGATGAGGAGCAGAAAGTGATGGGGTCTCAGGCCCTAGGATTCCTCTAAGAGGTGTCACCTCAGAAACCACTGTGTTATGCAATGCAGAGGATGGGACAGGGGCCCGGGAACCCTCTAAACAGGAATTGACCTTGCAACACTGCACACAGTAAGTCACAGATAAAGATCAGACCCTGGCAAATGTCCAAATAGGAAATACCAAATTCAGGAGCCTGGCCTTTGGTTGATTCTTAAATCCTGAAGGTCTAACACCACCTAAGTCAAGCCATAGGAGGAAGCATCGGCTGCGTGATCTCTTGGTGACATGTATTGTCCCACACTTGTAAAATGCAGCCTGAGTTTCGTGTGTCGCTGGTCAGATGAGCCACTCACTGATCAACACTGTGAGTGCCGCCGTGCGGGCCCGTGAGTGAGCAGGGGTGGGTCCAGAGCTGAGCACGGCCTGCCTGGGCTCGCTTCCCCGAGGGGCATTTGCCAGCAGGGGCAGGGGTGCTGCCTGGGGTGGCCTTCTTCCTGTGACCAGCTTCTCTGTCCGTCTGTCCCTAGGTGCTCAGGAGCTGGTACGGATGGACAGGTAAGGCCCACGGAGACCTCCCCGGGACACCCCACCGCTGCCCCTGCCCGGACTTGGAGCTTGGCAGGCTTTCTCTCTTCTTGCCTCCGAGGGCTTGTGCCCCGTGGGGCAGTGTCTACATCCCAACTGTGGCGGGAGTTAATGCAGAAGGGGTGGGGTAGCTTTCAGCCAGGGCAGACTGACTCTCCCCCCTTTGCCAGGATCCTTTCCCCTCTCTTCCCTGGCCCCTGACACCAGGACAGGGGTCAGGACACAGACAGGGCCTCCCTGTGCCAGCTGTCAGGAAGGAGATATTTCTGGCCCTCGGGTCCTGTTCAGCTGCATAGAGCAGCTGGCTAGGAGAGCATCTGCCACTGAGGCCTACATCTGCACGGTTTGGCTGTTCTCCCTGCCACCCCTCACCCCGCAGGCTGAGCTCCTGCACCAGTAGGATAAACTGTGCTCCCACTTTCTGGTCTTAGTGGCTGGTGGGCTGGGGTTGGGGAGGGGAGGAAGCAGCTGAGCTGGGGCGACACTGAAACATGCAAAGAGGTCAGCACACCTGGAGCGGGGCCCCTCCCTGCAGGGCACGCCAAAGGGAAAGCTGTCAGGCCACTGCCCACGAGGGCAAAGGCGGACGGGGCTCAGAGTGGGGCAGGAGGCAGGGGTGGAGTGTGTGCTGCTGCGCCCTGGGCAGAAGCTGGCAATGTAGCCTGGCACAGAGGGCATACTCAGGAGTTGGCCCGCTCAGGAACTGGCCCTCGTACCTGCAACACCAAAACCAGAGCTCCTCTGGGTGTTTGAAAGGGATGATTTTTCAAGATAGGTGGAAGGAAGTCCTGCTAGTGATCCTGCTAGAGTCTCAGAGTGGGAGGGGTCTTAAAGGTTGTCCCATTCCGAAGAGGGAAGAGGGTAAGAAAAGAGAACCCCTAATTAGCTCAGGCCAGCTGTGGGGACATTCAATCCTAATGCCATTGACCCTACTGACCAAAGAGAAACTTGTCTCCAGGTTCTGAGGCCAGTGTCCTGGAGGTGCTTCTGACCCTGGGCTTCCTGGCGGGCAGATGGTCAGACCACAGGGCCAAGCTGGGGTCAGATGCCCTCAGCTCAGGGCAGGGGGAAGGGTGCAGCCCATGGCCTCTCTCTGGCCCGGACCCTCCCTTCCTGCTGGAGAGAGGCTGCTGAGCCAGGAGTGGGAAGGCAGGTGGGGAGGGCAGGGGCCCCAACCCCCAGGCAGCACAAATGACTTCGGTTCTTATTCTCTGGCAGCAACGCTCACGGAATTGAAAACCCAGGCTTTGAGGCCCCTCTGCCCTCCCAGGGGATGCCGGAGGCCAAGCCCAGGCCCCCACTGTCCTACATGGCCCAGCGGCAGCATTCTGAGTCTGGGCGCCACCTGCTCTCGGAGCCCAGCACGCCTCTGTCTCCACCAGGCCACGGGGATGTCTTCTTCCCATCCCTCGGTGAGTGCTCCCCAACACTCGCAGCAGGGTGGCTGCAAGGTCACGACCTCCTCTGACCTGCAGAGCACCAGCCTCACTCCCCACCCCCTGGAGTCACTGTCTCCAGGTGTGGTGTTGGGGGGTGAAGGACAGAGGAGCCCCCCACTTACTCTGTTTCTTCTGTCTTTTGCAGACCCTGTTCCCGATTCCCCAAACTCTGAGGCCATCTAGACAAGCTGGTGGGCAGCTGTGGCTGGGCCGGGGGCAGGTGCCTTTGGGCCAGATGAGCCCTCTGAGGGGTCCCTTGGCCTCGGCCCTGGTTTCCTCCCTCCTGCTCTGAGCCCAGACTCTCTGAGATGCCCCTGATGGCCAGATCCCCCCCCCCCCCGGATGCTACAGGGCAGAAGTGAGAAGGTGTAGGATCACTCAGCCCCTATCTCAAGAATGGTGGGGTGCTGGGATCCCACCCCAGACCTGAAATTCACCAGCAGCGGATGCCAATGACCTACATCCTAGAAGCCCCAGCATTTCCAGCCTTGTGGTAGCTTCTCTGGGACATGAGCCTTGGAATTCGATAGGACATATGCGACAAGATGGGCACTGAGCAGACCCCGAAGTGCCACCCTCCCAGGAATCAGCAACAGGACTAGATGTGGAGAGATTCCTCCCCGTCGGTGGGACCGGCTCTCCCGTGTCACCCGCGGCTGCTCGTCTGCCAGACTCACTCTTTGTCACATGGGGCTCAGAGCTGGGCCTGCTGCCCCTGGGGCCATGGGAGCCTCCCCAGCTGCCTCCACCAGCAACCTCTCCTAGGACCTGCCAACAGCCTAAACAAATCTGGGGCTCCCACTGCCTGCATTCTGGTCTCGAGTCCACTGGCCAGAGGCCCCCAAACAGGAAGTACACATTGGGGCACGGTGGCACGGTGAGCCAACTGGCATCTTGGGCAATGGAGGCTGGGCCAGAGGCTGCACACCACCCGGATGGGGGTGAGGGGGAGCCCGGGGGCCTGCTGGGAAGGTGAGTGGAGAGGGCTCCACCACCCCTCTTCCCCATCGCACTCCTCCGCTGCTCAGTTTGGCCAGTAGAGAGGGTGACCACATGATGTGTTGTCCAAACTGTGATACTGTTGAGAGTGAAAAGGGCTTGCTATTAAAAACTACAGGGCAACAGCTGCAAACCCTGTGGACAGACTGTAAGAGCTGGGTTTAAATCCCTTCCTGCTTCTGAGGTGCCTGAGGCCTGGGAGCCTCCCCCACACCCTCATCGTTCTTGTTCCATCTGCTGAGGGCTCACTACAGAGTGACCCTGCCGGGTGGGAGGAGCAAGGCGGACCCATAGAAGGCTGGGTCCACTCTGCTCTGCACCCTCCGGTGCCACCTCCTGCTTCAGGCATCCCTCCAGTTTGTCTTCACACACGCAAGGGAAGTCCTTTGTGGAATTTTGATTAAAAGGCTGCATGGCGTGGAGAGGAAGGGGTGGTGGTGGTGGTCTCTGTACACTCTGGGAACGGGGAGGGGTGCTTTTGAGCGGGGTGGGAGCCCCGGGCACTGACTGCAGGGCTGGCTTCAATTGGGCATTGGCCTGCCATCGGCCTACACTGACTGCTGAGCTGGGCCTGGGTGCGGAGAGCCAGGACTAGGCCCCGGGCCGGGCCCGTGGGCAGGGAGAAGCCCACCGGTCACCTGGCAAGGTGGGAAGATGGGGGTGGGGGTGGAAGGAAGGAGCAGCTCCAGGCTCTCTAGCTGCGGTGAACCCAGGCCTGCGGCTGGAGCCAGAGTGCCCCGGATACATGGCATTGCTTCCAAAGCTGCCCCGGCAGCCCAGGGGCACGGGCCAGCGTGTGCGCCCTGCTGTGCCTCGGCCTTGAAGAAAGGGCGAGCATGGGTCTTGAGTCTGCACTGACACCTGCAGTAGTCAGAACCCCAAAGGCGGGCTCCTGCTTTGTCCCTGGGGTCCCCTCTTCCATCCATCTGCTGCCTTGAACACCCAGTGCCAGCTGCCACAGAAAGAGGGTGCTGTTTTCACACCTTGCGGGGCCCATGGGGTCGGAATGGGCAGGGTGACACCTGCTCGAGGCAGGGCGGGCCACCCCCAGTTGGACGAGCCCACAGACCAGACGGCCAGTCTCCCCACTCAGAAAGCGTGCTCCTGCCCTGTGGGGAAGCTGGCCTGGCCCAGCCCTCACTTCTGACTGGAGGCAGAGAGAAATTCTAAAGGCCTGGCTGCCGCCCCAGGCCCGCCTGCTGCTGTGTGGAGGGAGGAGGAGGCCACGAGCAGAAAGCCACTGCACTTCCTCCCTAGCTTCCTCCTGCATGGGCTCGAGCCCTCTTCTCTGGACCCCTACGAGCATCTCAGCTTCGTGGTTTCCTGTTTTCAGTGAAATTTACTCTGAGCTCCAGGCTCCATCTTCATCCATGACCACAGGCCCCACCCCCAGCAGCCTTAAAGCTCTCCCTGCTGTTGCCAGGGAGAGGCAGGTGCGAGACTAGAAAGAAGACCATGCACCCCGTGCTCACCTCTGGGGTGGTGCTGCCTCTGCAGACGCCAGCCGGTGGCTGGTCCCGATGGGTCCCGGCCTAGCGCCCGTGAGCTGGGGTGCATGGGACAGAGCAGCAGTGGGAACAGGGTGCCTGCCTCCAAGGGAGTGGGAGGAGCCTGGGCCTCCAGGAAGTTGGCTGCAGGGTGGGGCTAAGGGCAGGAGGCTCATGGATCCTAACAGTGTCTGAGGCCCTGGGAGGGAAACCTGTGCTTTTAGGTAACGAGTCATTGTTAAGCGATGTATCAGGGACCATGGGGCCTGTAAACCACCTCCCAGCATTTACAGTTCATGAAGACCTTCTGCCTCGATTCCCTCTAAGGAAATGGATTTGGAACTTCTTGGAAATATGCTACAGAGGCCACTGCAGATGCTGCTGTTGGGTCAGGCTGGCCCAGCCAGGGGGTCTGTGGTCCTAGGCACTGGGGTGAACGTGCAGGACCGCAGGACCTGCTTCCCAAAGACCAGCGTTGGGGTTGCCCTCCCTCCTGTCTGGCCAGAGCTCCCGCCCGCATCCGCGGCCTGGGGCAGAGGGGCTGATGCACTGCCTTCTTTAGGGAGTAGTCTGCAGTGTGGGGACTCTGAAGGGCACAGCGGGGCTGGGGCTGCAGAGGTCCCGTCACTGTCCCGGTGTGGGCGCTGTAGCCTGCCTTCTGGAAGAAGCCTTGCTGGGTGTCAGCGCCCCACGGCTGGCCGGAATGTGCCGAGGCTGGGCTACGATGTGCTCAGGGAGTGCAAAGGCAACAGCAACGCGCAGAAAGAGGAACTGAGGTCGTCAGCCAGGATGCCGGGTACAAGGCCGCTCAAGAAGCCGACACTCGCAGCCCATGAGCATCTGCCCCAGCCGCAGACAGCACTGTCTCGCCCTTCGCTGTACACACTTTGCATGGTCGTCCTTCTTTCCTGCACAGATGCTGTGGCTTTGGGTTAGGGTTAGGGTGAGGGTGTGAGTTCCAGGACAGTGGGCGTCTTGCCTGCCCTTTGAACTCGGTTACAGAGCTGACAACTGAAACGTAGCCGATGGAGAGTGGGTTGAACCATGAAGTCAGAGCTGAGTTCTCTGGACTGCTCACAGCTGGCAGGGACCTCTGACCGGCCGTTGGCTCTGGTTCCTAGCAGCTGCGTCTGGGCCTGACGGAATCTCCTCAGCGGCCACCCTTCCCTGAGCTTGTGCAGGCCGGGGAAGAGGTTTCGTTTGGTTTTGCAGTTCTGGTCTGTCGGCATGTCTTCCTGGATGACGTATCAGTGTAGCTTAACGAGCAAGTGCTGACGCTGGTTAGCAACGTCTGCCTTGGGCACAGGATAGAGGAGCAGCAGCACGTGTGCCTTCCCAAAACACGTCCACACGTGTTACTGCTCCTTTGATCCCCTCGCCCAGGAAACCCGGAGAGGCTTTCCCGTCCCCATTTACTGCATCGGGAAACTGAGGTTTCTAAAGGCTTGTGTCTTGTCACAGCGGATGAGGAACTGGGAGTGAAGCCCAGGTTTCCTGCTCCCAGGTCCGTGCTCCTTCCTCTTCACGGAATTGAATGGCATGGCAGGGCAGGACTTGCTGACAGTGCGTGCCAGGGCCCCGGAGCGGAGCTGTGCCCACGTGCCCATGGCTCCCCTCCTTCCACATCAGTCCTCGACACTCCCTTTCTGCCTGGCAACCCTGCCGCCTCAGGACTGCCGGTAGGCGAGGCAGGCCACGCACTACTTGCTTACAGCGGGGCGGGGGGCACCTCAGATGGCTGCAGAGCCCCCGTGTCACTTGGAGGAACTGAGCCAGTTGCATGTGCAGCCTCTGAGCAGCGGCGGAACATCCCTAAGGAGCAGGGTTAGGGGAAGGGTCTGCACTGCATCACGCCGGGCCAGAGAAGGCCAGCCTACTTGGTGTGCAGCCCAGGGAAGGGCCCAGGCTGGGGTTTCCTAACTTGAGCCAGGGGAAGCAGGCTTCCAAACAGAAGCAGGGTCCAAGTTTAATACACAGGAGAGTCCTTGGCCCTAAGATAGGAGGTGAGCTGCCGAGAGCAGCGTCCCTAGCTCACAGACTCTCAAGGGGCTATTGCTGGTGAACCAGACGTAGGTAGATTTGTTTGTCCTCTGCCTCCATAGGTGGCTTTTGCAGATCTCAGCAGCCTGAAAGCTAGGCTGGTTATCTGAGATCGTCTAACCTGCTGGGTGTCATTTGCCTGGAAGCAAGGCCCCGTCAGGCCCTCCCTCTCCCCATCCCCCTGCCAAGGTGCCTCTGTGGCTGGGGCTCGGCTCCTGACCTCCCAGTTACCTTCCGTCCTTCCTCCCTGGGCCTGGCCCTTCCTCTTGCAGGGGCCTCCCTGCTGGCCACTTAGACCCTTCCGCCAAGCCTAGCCTCCCTGTGGCCTGCAGCCAGCCAGAGACTGAGGCTGGACAATGACTTCCCCGGCCGGCTGGCGGATCATTGTGTGGTAGGGCTGGGCTGGCCCGGATGCCCCTTTCAGCACAGCCGTTCCAACTCTGGGCGCTCTGGGGCTGAGAACGGGTGGCCACGGCCTAGGCTGTTCGCAGGAATGTCCAGCCCTCAGGAAACGGGGGGAGCCCAGGGAGAAAAGAGGGCTCAGATACATCAGACACAGCCTTTCTCTTGGTTTGGGGAGGCCTTTGGTAGCTGGGTCCCAGGTCCCCTGCTTAGAGATATAAATGATGCTTTGTTTTTGCCCGGGCCGGTTTGGCTCAGCAGTTAGAGCGTCGGCCTGCAGTCCAGAGAGCGAACCCGGGTTCGCTTCCCGCTAAGGGCACGTACCTCGGTTGCAGTTTATACCCGGCCCTGGTTGGGTGGTGCGGGCCGCAGGGCCCGTTGGCCAGCTCTGCCCCTTCCTCATCCCGGCTCAGCTGGGCCGGGTGCTTGAGGGGTGGAACCAGCCCTGGGAGCGTGCCTGAGACAGAGCCCGGGGAAGATACGTGGAGAGGCAGCCCTGCTCTTGGCCCGGGGTGCTGCTGCGGGCCGGAACCACCCGCGGGTCCCCAGTCCACCCTGATTATCACATGCTCTTCAGCCTTCGTTTGGGCTGATCCCTGGAGCCAGTATATGCTTTGCCCCTTGCTGTGCTGACTATGGCTGACTGACATGACAGCCCAGGTGTCACCTCCTCCAGGAAGCCTTCCCCACCTTCAGTGCTCCTCAGTGCCCCATCTGTGTCACACAGGATGCCACACAAGCATGTCCTCACTTACTCAGCTGCACTTCACTGTGGCAGGGACCATGTTGCCTGCGTTTCTGTATCGCTAGTGCCTGGCACGCAGTAGGCATTCAGGGAACACTGAGTGAATGAATGAATGAACAAGTGAACTATGCTCCTGGGATGGTCACTGCTGTTCTTCACAGAGAGCAAATAAAAGAGATCTTTCCCAACCTGAAGAACAGAAAAAAAACCTGAAAGGGTAGATTCTTTTTGACTTAAAAATTTTCTCCCGTAAGTCTTCCAGTTGGTACCCGACGCTGTTTGTATTACAGTATTACAGCCCAGGGGCCACGTGTACAGGGTTTGGAGTTGTGAGTATGTGAAACACAGAATTTATTCTTGTGTTATTATTTATTAATTATTGCATTAACTGTTTCATGTACTCACAACTGTAAGCCTACTTTTGCCGCACCCTGTATGTTCCCCCCGTGATGGCCGCAGGGAGCCGGTCCCTGATCCTGCTCATGCTGACAGTGTTCCCGGGAGCTGGTGGTCCCCAGGCTGAGGGGCAGAGAAAGGGAAACAGCGTTTCTTTCACCCAACTTCCCACGTTGCACCAGGGAGCCGGCGCGAGCCGACACCTGCTCCAAGGAGGGCCGGAATGTCAGGACCCTCCGGACATTGCTCACGGGTCTCTACCAGGCCAGGACGGGTCTCTGCAGAGGGTCTGGTCAAAAGATGGAAACTATTTCTGGCCAGTCCCCAGTTCTGCAGGGACTTCGTGGGTACTGGCCGCCCCAATCCGGGTGGTTCCATGAGGCTGGGGTGATTTCCCAGCTCTCCGATTCCCATTTCTCTTGGGGACCGAAAGGAAGCCAGATGTTGCCTCCAAAACTCAGGGTTTTAGGGTGCCGTGGGTCTCAGTGATGGCAGCATGTGGGGTAAGGGTGTCCTGTCCACTGCCTAGGTCAGGATGAGGAGGAGCAGAGGGGCAAATGCTATCAGTTGGCCGCCTCGGATCTATTCCCCCCTCGTCCTCACCAAGAGCCCATCATGCCAACATCAAAGGCGGGGATTGGGGGGTCTACCAGAGTCACCTGTTGGGGGCAGAGGGTCAGAGGTGAGGCCTCACATATCATCAGGGTCCCTAGGGTGACAGATTACAAAAATGTCCCCGTATCCACACTCTTTGCAATGTGACTTTATAAGCTCATCCCTTCAAAAAGTAGTTTATTTCTCCACATCTTGATTGTGGGCTGGCCTGGTAGCTGCTTCGGCCAACAGAATGTGGCAGAAGTAACCTTGTTCCAGTTCTGAGCCTGGGCCTCACAAGCTTTGCTGTCTCTCCTGGACGCTCTCTATTGCCATGGGAACAAGCACGGGCTACCCTCTGGAAGAGGACAGAGAGGTACCCCAGCTGACAGGCCACTGACCCGCAGAAGCAGAGCCCTCCGACCCCACACAGCCGCCCCACCCCACGTGGGAACACAGCGGAGAGCAGAAGACGCGCCCGCTAGGTCAGGTCTGAATTGCCAGCCTGCAGAACTGGAGCAAGAGCAACGGTTGTTTTGGTTTGTGAGGCAGCATTATTGTGGTGACAATTGATACAGTCCCCCTCCTTCTTATGGTTTACCAAGCATTTCCACAGACATGAGCTAATTCTATTTCCCAAACACCATCTATGACAGAGATATCATCTCCCATTTGCAGATGCCAAAACTGATATTCTGAGAGGTTCTGACTTGCTTGCGATCCTTCAGCCAGCTCACAGTTCTCCACTCCCAATGGGCAAATAGCTTCAATCCCAGCCCACGCACCCTCCACAGTCTCAGTCCTGCAGGCCCCCACCTCCTCCTCCAACCTTGCAGACCTTGCTCATTGCCTTGGGCAGCGGCCCCACCCATTCAAGCATTAGATCAGACTATGGACATAGCCCCTTCCAACCCTGACAGGTTTTGACGACTGTATCACACCAACATGACATGGGGAAAGAGCCAGAGGGCACCTCTTCCTACTGGGCACAGAGGCGCTACCATATGGGTTAGTGTGGCCCCACAGGCACACAGCTTGGTAAGTGGTGTGGGGGCGACCCAGGCCCCAAGGTACAGGCTCCATCTGTACCATCCCACAGAGATGTGTGAGCAGCCCTGGCCGGTTTGGCTCAGCGGTTAGAGCGTCGGCCTGCGGTCCTGAGATGTGTGAGCAAAGAAGACTAAGCAGAGACCCCTGCTTTTGCAGGCTCCCCATAAACACTCATAAGCCGATGGACTAGAGGCACAATGAAGGAGCTGTCAAAGATTCACCCACTGCACGCGTCCCGATCCCTCCCATCGTCTTCCCCTCACACAGAAGGGCAGTTGCACCTCGCCCACCCTCCCTGCCCCGTGGCCGCCCCATCACTCACTGACAGAGGCGGGGTGCCCTCGTCCTCCACGGTGACCACCAGGTGGTAGAAGCTCTGGTGCTCGCGGTCAGGCGGGGCGGGTCGCGTGGTGATCTCACCACTGATGCGGTCCATGCGGAACGTCATGTCGTCGTTGCCCTCGGTGATGTAGTAGGACAAAACGCTGTTGATCCCGATGTCACGATCAGTCGCTCTCACCTGGACCACAACAGTACCGCCGCCCACGTTCTGGGAGGAGAGCAGGAGAGTGGTCATTCTGGATCCAACGGGCCAAAGCCAGCACCTGCTCCTGGGAGCGCAAGGGCCTCACCCGGACCTCCGGAAAGCTTTGCTGTCCACACTGGAGCCATGAGGAGGGGGATGACGGTGGCGAGCATTCTGTGTGCTCCTACTATGTGCCGGGGCTGTATTAACTTAGCGACTTCCCTCTTCAACCCCACATGTTAGGGCCTGGTGTCACCCCATTTACAGGTGAGAAAACTGAGGTGCAGGTAAGAGATGTGTGCCAGTCAGTGGCAGAGCCAGGATGTGCACTGTGGGAGGCTGGCCTTGAAACCCCTACGCATCCTGCCTTCATGAATGTCCAACCTGACATGACACCCAGCAGTGCGGGGCACAGATTCTCCGGGAGGGGCTCAGTCACAGGACTGAGTAGTTGAAGAGTTGATGTATTTAAAAACAGCTCTCCCGCCCAGCCGGTGTGGCTCAGTGGTTGAGCATCGACCCACGCACCAGGAGGTCGCCGGTTCCATTCCCGGTCAGGGCACATGCCCAGGTTGTGGGCCAAATCCCCAGTGGCGGCCAATTGATGTTCTCTCTCATGGATGTTTCTCTCTCTCTTCCTCTCCCTTCCTCTCTCTCTAAAATCAATAAGAAAAATAAAATAAAAAAGAAAAAACAAAACAGCTCTCCAGGGTAGACCTCAGTTCGCTGTTGGCTGCAGAAGGCCACTTGCTGCTTCTCCTCCCCTCACTCCCACCATGAAAAGACACCGCTCTCCGGGACCTGCCCTAGGCGTTAGGCCTAGAACCTGAGAATAAGCCATTGTCCCCCCCCCCCGCCCCCAGACTGGAGAGACTAGTGCCTGGCAAACAGACAGGTGCTTGGTAGTCGGCTCGTCTCCACTGTGTAGGTGCTGGAGTTGCCCTCACCTCGTTCACGCTGACGTTATATCCAACGGGGCTCTCGATCACGGGGGGGTTGTCATTGACATCCAGGATGGTCACCTGCAGGATGTGGTGCTTCTTCCGTGGAGGGGTCCCACGGTCAGATGCCACAACCTATGAGGAAGGGGATGACTGGAGTCAGGGCGAAGGGGTGGAATTAGGATCGGGAATATGGAGTCCAAAAGGGCTGCCCACTCAGTGGGGAAGGCTGGGAAGAACGGCAGACTCACTGGTCCATCCCTTTCCCCGGGGGCCCTTCCAGCTCTGGGCTCGGCCCAAGGCTTTTGCCTTCTGCCCCATGCTGCCAACAATTCCTGCCCAGTTCTTGTCTGGCCTGGGATCCTCATTTGCAATCTGACTCAGGTGCGTGCCCAGTCTTCACCTCCCAATCCTACCCCCTGCATTTGTGGGAGAGCCAGGGCTCTGCCAGGCTCCCTCGGGCTCTCACGGCGGGAACAGACACCTCCGCCGCTTCCTGCCGAGCCCCTCCCAGCCACCCTCTCCTGGGCTGGCCTCGCTCATGCTCTGGGCCCCGAGGAACTGCCTGCCCCGTGGTACTTGGTGACAGCAGGGAAGCTGACTAGCAGGACATGCTGATGGGCTGAGCGCTCTCCTGAGAGGGGTGGTCCCCACCTTAAGGATGTAGTGGTCCAGCTCTTCTCTGTCCAGGGGCTTGGCCACAAACACTTCGCCAATGGAGTAATTGGTGGTGACAATCTCAAAGGCCCCAGCGATGTTGCCCGAGGCCAGGGAGAAAACCACCTGTCAGTGGGGGGAGAGAGTGGCTGGTGAGGAAGCAGGACGGACAGGTGCCCGGTCAGGTCAAAGGCACAGCCCTGACCAGCTGGGGCCTCTGCTCAGCAAGGGCGTTTCAGAAGAGAGTGTTTGGTAGAAGCAGTTCTGTCTGTCCTAGTGGGGTGGCAGGCCCACGGAGGTAGAGCAGGGCCTGTGGCAGGTCCCTGGGCCAGGAGGCCGCGGAGTCCCACGGCACCGACGTTCCCCAGGGCAGGGACCGGGAAGTGCTGACACTCCGGAGACCTGCTAGAGCAGGCACGTGCCCTGTGGGACATGGACTGTTTGGCTCTCACAACCTGTCACGGAGCTGTTCTCTCCAGTTCACAGACAGGAGGCTCAGAATGTGAAACAACCGGTCACAGCTTGCAGCTGCCCAGGAGAACAGGGACTTGAACTCACATGCTCTGACCCCAGAGCCAGTGTCTTAGTCCCCAGGTGTGTTAGCATTTTTAAATGGCGCCGCCCGATTCATAAGATGGGGATGATATGCTCTCTTGTCCCTGCTTGTGCTCTAGGGGTGCCCCGACCCGGACCATGGGGAACGACCCTGCTGGGGATGGAGGGCTGAGAAGCAGGGGGGGAGGAATGTGTTCTCTTCCAGACCTGGAGCCGGCAGGAGGGCTGCCCTGTGGCTGGCACACAGGGGCAGGAAGCCATGTGGTCTGTGCAGAAAGGTGAGGAGTCTCTGGGAAAGCTGAACCCCACTCTTTGTTTGCTGTGCGGGGCTGACATGTGGCTGGCCGTCAGGGCCCATTCATTCAACCCAGGCAGGGCCAACCATCTGCCTCCTTTCCCTGACCACGGACTGGCAGGAGGGCAGGTGGTCCCGCTTGGGACTGGGCAGAGCCGAGGTGACCCCTGCTTCCTACTGAGTGATGGGGCGGCTTAGATGGCCCCTTCCAACTGAGGGTCATGGGAACCCCGTACTGAGAGAGCTGATCTGGGCTATTTCACTGATGCCCACCTGCCCATTGCTGCCGGCGTCAGGGTCCTGGGCCGTGACGGTGGCTACACGCTGGCCCACGGGGCAGTCCTCTGGCACGCTGACAGCCGAGTCGGAGGTGGCGTCAAACCTGGGGCTGTTGTCATTCTCATCCAGCACAGTGATGTAGACCTGGAGGGTGAATGTTACCAGAGACCTACGGCCTCCTCCTCCTCCTCCCAAGCCCCAAACACCAGGGTCCTATGGGGGCCCCTGGGGACCAGACCTCCACTCAGTCTGGAACATCAGCTAGCCTGCAGGCCAGTCCTGACTTCACACGAAGTCCCTGAGCTCATTTTTTCCAGGAGTCTGGTGGGGGAGGGCTCACACTCAAATGCTGGGGCTGGGACCTGGAAGGTGGGCCCCGGCCAGAGGGGGTGGAGGCTTGCGGGCTCCAAATCCACGCGGGAGTGCCAGGCTGACACCGGCAGAGCTTCCTGTGTTTTGAGAGGGACTAGGAACAGAGATTTGTGTGTGTGGAATGAGGTGGTAATAAAAATTAAAGAAAAAATTACGTGCAGGCTGGCTATCACACATCTGGCAGCCAGACACTGCCTGAAGGCCTCTTTGCTAGCACATCTGGATGAGAAGGAAGGAAGCAGGGCTCAGGAGGAGGGAGGCAGGGGCTTGGTAGTCCCTGTGGGGAGGGGCAGATGGGGAAGAGCGGTGTTTCCAGCTACCAGGTAAATCCAGGAGCATGCGCGCTGCATGCAAAGAGCATCTTGTTTAGTGTCCGCAGCGCAGGCTTCTGCAGCGTCTGGATAGCGAGCTGAAGAGAAGGCCCTGCTGTGGGGCGGCCTCCGGTCATGGATGGCCAATGGCCACCAGCCATGAGGCAGAACCCCAGGTGCACCTTAGGGTTACTGGTGAGGGGGTTGAGATAGGGCAGGAGGAGGCTCAGATTTTAGGAATCCCAGGCCAGGCCTCCTCCCCAGGTCAGATCCCATCTTCTTCCTTGGACCTGGGGTTCCAGGGCTCCCCTGCCTGCCTGCCTGCCTGCCTGCTACCCTAGGGACCCCATAGGGAGCCTGTAGAACCTCGCACCCTGCCAAGGAGATTAATTTCATTTCCTCTCGTAATCAGATTTTCCTTCTTCTCAGTCCTAGCCATGCCCTCCTATCTTTAGGCAGCTTTTAAAACCACGAGGCACCCTCGTCGGTGAGGCCCAGTGGTTGGGTATCGTCCCATGCAATGTAAATTTGCCCATTCGATTCCCGGTCAGGGCACATGCCCAGGTTGCGGGCTCAATTCCTGGCGGGGGGTGTGCAGGAGGCAGCCAATCGATGTTTTGCTCTCACATTGATGTTTCTCTCTCTTTCTCCTTTTCCCTTCCTCTCTAAAAAAACCAATTAAAAATCTTAAAAAGCAAACACATCAAAAACCCACAAGACAACAAACCCAGGCTTTGCAGCAGAACCCACTCCACCACGTCCACTTACTAGCTGTTGGCTTTGGAAAAAGTTATTCAACCTGATTTTTCATGGTCTCAGCTGAAACAGGAGCGAGAACACCCACAGCACGGGGATGTGAGGGGAACAAGTGAGCAACAAGTCAAGGGGTGGGTGGTCCCAGTCCTGCTTTCTGCCTGGCAGAGAGGCGTGACCTCACTTTCTGAGACTCTGCCCGTCCATCATGAATTTTGGACAGGAAGTTCCACGAAGTCCTGGAGCCCCAGTGTGCTCACCTGTGAAGTGGGCACAATAATGCCCACCACACTCTTCTCAGGAGGGAAACTAGCAAGGGCTCTGTGCTCTGATCCTTCCCAAACTCTTCCACTTGGGCCAAAGCCTTGTTTGGGCTCCCCATGCCTCCTCCCACTACAGAGCCTTTGCACATGCTGTTTCCTCTGCCTGAAATGCTCTTCCTTCTTTTTTTTATCCTCACCTGAGGACATTTTTCCATTTTTTGTTCAGGTAGAGTGGGAGGGAGAGAGAGGAACAGAGAGAGAGGAGAGAAACATCGATGTGAAGGGACACATCGAGTGGCTGCCACCCGCACGACCAACCAGGGCCGGGGACAAACTGCAACCGAGGTACGCGCCCTTAGCGGGAACCGAACCCGGGTCTCTCCAGACTGCAGGCCGACGCTCTAACCGCTGAGCCAAACCG